AATGTAGTTGCGGAAATTTCTGAAACGGAGCAAGTCATTTTTTTATACTCTCTGCCACGTCAACTGATAAGAGCGTTCATTTTGCGCAACTTTCGCATCACGTTCTGCAGATGTTCTTCAGTCTTGTGTCTGATTTAATGCGATGATCTCTGAACCAGACTGCTTGCAATCGAGTTGATGATGATGTCAATGAAAATAATGCTTGTAAATGTGTTATTGATTAGAATCTTTTACTAAAAAATATTTTCTTCGTGGCTTCTTTTCTTCAAACTAACAAAATTTATATTTATTATATAAGAATTGATATTTTAAATTAATTATATCTATTTATATATAATTATATAATCGATATTACAAACATTAATTATTATAAACATTAATTTCTAATAATTATCTTAGAAAACATATAATAATTATATTTTTGTAAATATTATAATATTGAAATATTACAGATGGGTGAATGATTGCAAAACAAAACAATTATAAAAGTTACTTACGATTTATATTTGAACAATTTATTGTACGAGTGACAGACAAGCGAGACCTATAAAAAGTAAGATTCATAATATTATAATGTACAAAGATACATAATATTTGAATCAAATAAAGTACAAAAAAACGTCGAGTAATGTCTTTTTATAAATTGTCTCGTGTATTATATTTAGTGAAACAAAGAAAAAGCTACAGGCTGCAGACAACGGCAGTAATTATCGAAGGAATTTCCCTGCGTCATATTGTTTTCAAATAATCTCTGATAGTTTTTCCTTCTTTCTGCCTCGCAGGCATGCATTAACATTTAAAACTTCCTTCGTATAAGTTCTCCATTATATGATATGCATGATACGCGAATAAATTGCATACGTGTTAAGAACTTTCCACTCGATACAAGGATTAATATTTTCGAACGTAACGTTATTGCGCTATACATATATTTCATTCGTGGCAGTAACAGCTACCATTGAATGCGATTGTATAATTTAATCGCATTAAGTATTTTCCTTATAAAGCATCACTTTTTGTTTTCGAATTCAAATCCAAATCTGCGCTGAAAAATTACGTAAATAACAAAGAGTAAAATTTATAATGGAATGTACATTATCAATCATATCATTTTTATATTTGCTCATGTAATCTGACATACTTTATTTATAACGCGCACGATGTATTGTATTAATTCGTTGTTTTTCTCCAGTGGTGGCATATCTTTTCTTATCATACGCACGGAAGAAATATGATAAACTGTAAATACGTTACGTACTATCCACGGTTACAGATTACAATATAGGAAAACACACAAGAGAGAAATGTCATTGCCGGCTAAATTTAAATCGAGTACGAAAGTCGGACGTTGCACTCAGCGTAAGTGCAATAACGCAATAATCCGTCGACTTCGATTTCAGCAGATTTTTCGTCCGAATAGTGTAGAATAAAATTGCGAGCATTACTTTTACATATATGAATCATACACCAAGTACATGTTATAAAAACATAAAATTCAAATATATAAAGTTTTAATTTTGCACAATTTAATATATAATAATTTTAACATATCAGTAATATTAATGTAAAGCAAGCAAAATAGTTACAAAAATTCAAATTTTTTTATTGTTAAATAAAGTAATAATTATTGTCTCAATCGTTCTACACTAAAACTAGTTTTTCATTTTTTCCTATCTTATATTCAAACAATTCACATCTATTCAATCATATCTTTTTATTTCTCTTTTTCCTAGAATTTTTTAAAATTTTTAATACAAAATGTTTTCATTGTTTTAAATTGTACAAAAATCTTGTATATGCCATTATTTTAGCATTCTTTTTATTTCTTGATCTTCATTTATTTGGTTTTTAAATTATAAATACATTTTGATCAATTCTGCAATTTCTTAACAATAAAATGCGTTTGAAACGCGCGTTCAAATGCGTTTTAAAGGGCAGTTAGTCATGAAATTTACATTTGCGCAAACAAATAACGTCTGAGTAACGTCTCAAACGAGCTCTATGAGGAGCACGTGGCCGCTCGCAAAAGGCTCTATGTGTGCCTAAACACGGCAGAATTATACCGCCAGACATACCGCCGTCGCAACCGCAATTAAGGCGTGCAGTGCCATATGCAAATGATCGCATTGTCTTGATCCAAAGTGGCGCCGATCTCGGTCGGTTTAGTGTGCTTTCACCGGCAGCTATGAGAGAACATAACTTCACAAAAATCACAGCTCACTCATTTACGCCAGCTGTACAATATACATACAAGTAGCGCGTAAATGCGAATGATTTCTTACGAAAATTCCATTCGTTCTAGGAAATTTGAATAAATTCAGCACATGAATCGATCAAGAGTTGATCAAAGGTCTCTACGTAGATTATTAATAAAATTCAAGATGATTATAAAGATTTTTCAATTGTAAATAGTTAATACACAACTTTCGATAGTATTAAATATAACAATAAATTTTAATCCGCGTTATTCTCTTTCATTTATATTAAACATGCTTTGACAAGCTTTATTTTTACGGTTATTATTTTTAATTTTGATCTGATTTTAATCTTATATAAATGTATATGATATATAGGTATTGTATGTGCACCAATATCGCAGTACAGCGAGTTTGAATTCATGGCTTCGCTAAACCCAAATGAACGTGCGGATCAGTCATCTGTACGGGGATTAGTTTAAAATTACGATATCTCTCAGTGTAAATCGAATATTGATCTATTAATATAATCTATCAATATAAATCTATTTGATAGATTTGATCAGGATACTTATATTTTTATTATTGATACTTATTCTGATTAGCAAAACGCTCTTAGTTTCATCTTATACTATTTTGTTATTAAATTAATTAACGTTCTCTAAGATATGCACGATATATAAATATATTAATATATATATGATGATGTAACAATAATATAAAACTGAGGGCATTAATATCTTGTAAGTAAAAATCCTGAACAGAATTTTGATTTTATATCATTATATTAGCACATATCGACATATTCAAGAAAAAAATCTTTCTATCATTATTTTCAGTGAATAGGACGCTGAAGTAGTTTTTTATTATAGCAGACTGAATTCAATACATGACAACGAAACAACATCTGTACAATCACAAATTATCTGCTTCTTTCGATTCGATACGCATTCGCTCGCGAGCAATGCAATGAGTCTGCATATAGCGAACATTACGCAAGCGACCAAAGTGAATACTCAAGATTCGACGCAGAAGTCACGTTTTTTTTATGGCGTCCCCGCGTCGCGTCCCGCTGACCCCCCGCGCTCAGGCTCGCGCATGTCGATAATTAATTAATACGTGTTACGCAACGCGTGGGCGTTGCCCACGCTCGTTGCTCGATGCTCGATGACGCTGATATCCATTGAATTAGTAGGATTTCGAAGCGTGCGCGCGCTTGCCCTCACTCACGGCGCTTGGTCGTCTTTCAATCGCGCGCGCAAATCCACATCCGCGACCCGCAATCAACGACGCCGCGTGAGCTCGAGATACGTTTGTGTGCATGGCCGATCTCTCTCTCGGGTGTCGATCCTGATGCATTGTTCTTGCACATGGCGAATTAGTCTCACGGACGGGGCCGGGCGCGGCAGACGGCCTGTTATTAATTAAAACGATACCCCCCGTCGGCACGCGCGAGAATTCGAATTTTGCGCATATGTCAAACCTCCGCTCCATACACGAACCGTTTCCCTCACGCATGACATGTTTCCTACTATGTGTAAATTAACTTTTTACGTACGCCTAAATCACGGACAAACTTTTTACGTACGCCTAAATCATGGACAATTTTGATCCCCTTGCAGAATAAGTATGAATTACAAGAATACACATACTTCAGAGCTATTCTAACATATTTTTATCTCCGTTTAATATTCGGCATTGATATATATATTGCACATTTATCTCTTCTATATATATATAAAACGAGGTTTAATAAATTTATAGGAACAAACGTAGGAATGTTTGCACATGCGAATAAAAATAAATTCAATGAGTTGACATAAGTCTAAGTCTAAAAGTCTCTTCGTGATTTCCGAGCGGCTCTCTGCGCTTCTATGTCCGGTGACAATGTGTCTTCTTACGTACGGAAATCCCACCGAATACTGTCGTTGCTCGTAAAGACGTCAAGTCTACCCTCTCTTCGATCAACGTCGCACGGCACGTCGCACCACGTTGAGAAAGCGCCAGCGCGCTGCGGCGGCGACGGTTCGTCACGACGAGTCAGCACGTTTTGTAGGAGGGCCTCTTCGTAGACGGGTCTTGGTGCTCAGTATGCAAGCTCGGTGGTGGCCGCATCCGGTAGGTATGCACTCGCGCGCGCAAGCTCGGAAACTCACGTTGCATTATGTATCCGTCTGTCGATACCGGGCACCACGTGTCAACGC